GCCCCCTGGCCGACCAGTTTCCTGGGGGCAGAGCATGCAGATACCCATGCGGATACCCACTGGAATGATAGCATCCCTCCCCAACCCCGGCTCTCTCTGCTCACCTTTCAAAGGCACCTGGAGGTGCAAGCCTCATGCATCTCCTTTCCTGAGCACCAGTATTGCTGCTGGCATCACCTGTTCTCTTTCCAGTGGAGACTTCAGGCTGACTTCATCGTTTCCACCTTGGGAAAATCCCTAGACTAAGCTAGGCCTGACCCAGCACACTCTGCCTTCTAGGAAGTGCCCAGTAAGGGGGAAAGCAGACCCACAGTGACTCCCCTTTAGTCACTGCACAAGCAATAGCTCCATGAGAGGGATGGACTGTAAGACTACTCCCTCCTGTTCCTCCTCCTCCATCCCCCATGGAGGAGGCATCGCACTTTACCCCGCTGATGCATTCCTACGCAAGTGGGCCCGGGATTTCTGCAAGTCGACTATCATGACTTCGTTGGAGGAGAGTTGATACATGCATACCCATTGAGGGTCTCAGGTTTATATAGTTAAAAATGCAGCAAACCTTTCAGAAAGCCACATAAATAAATTGGCTAGGTTCCTTATACCATTCAAATGGGGAAGTTGAAAAGTATATTCTTGGCACTGCTTTTTCTGTAGCATTCTCTCAATACAAAGAAGGGATCCCCTTTCAAAGGCTATCTTTATGAAGCAGACACTATTGCCCTCAGAATGAGAGAACATTAAACTAGTAGTCTGGTAAGCTGGATTTTTTTCCCCATGGCTTTACTTCCTTGCTGTGTGACCTTGGGTGAGTAATTGTTTTCTTGGAGCCTCAGTTTCCCTATCTGTAAAATGAGTTATTTGAAATGGATGATCTCTAAGGGCACCAAATCTGGTATTCTAAGGTTCTCCTGTTTTCACTATCCATAATAGTATGGAATGGTTTCTGCTTTTGGAAGGTATCATCCACATGGGTTCTTCCCTCCTGCCCTTCATTGTTTTTCTGGGCCTTGTTTTCTAGTTTCCCCATGTTTTAATCTCATGGGGATGAGCTCAGAGGAGCTCCCTGGGTCTGTTTCCCAGTCTACAGAGTAAAGGGATTAGATCAGATGGTCTCTGAGGCTCTTTGTGGCATCAGCCTTGCCCAGTGCCCCGTGGTGTCTCCTGGCTTTCTAGGAGTCTGCATGTTATGGAAAGTACCCAAGTCTGTGTATCTCCTGTTCCTGTGCATCTCCTATGAATTTCCTGGCAAGAGGAAGACTCAAGACTTCCTCCAGAGGAATTTATCTTCTCTGCTTCCACTCAGCATGGGAAAAGGTGTTCATTCTGCCCATGTCTGCATCAGATTTGGCAGTGAGGAGGCTTGGGGAGCACCTACCTTACTTTCAGGGACAGGAATCTATTGCTCATACTTCTGTTTTCTAGAGTTTCGGCAATCTAAAGGCATTGTCATGTGGCCTGCCTTTCCTCTCCATGTCCCAGCCTCTGATGCTCAAGATGCTGTTTCCAAGATCTCTTCCTGCTGCTTCTCCTGGCTCACTGGCCAGAAACTAGCTCACTCAAGGCTGCAATCTCTCATTGCAGCCTCCCTGCCATTCTCCTTCACTGGTTGGCAACTTTGAGAGTTCAAAGGAAATCACTCTGTGGTGGTCAACTGAAGCTATAGGAAACTAGTAAGTCTGTGGCTCTTCTCTGCTGATGGAAACAGAAGGGCGCTAAACCATGCCTAAAAAGATCCCGCCAATAATTCTTGTCTTTGGGTGTTGGAGCCCTGGATTCTGGTGCTGTAGCTCCTGGTGCCAAAGTCTGGATCTTTCCACATTTCAGCAGCACCAACATCTGCTGCTACTCAGAATGCTCTGTGGAAGAGGGACAGCTGTGATGCCCTTTTGCTGGGGCTGCCATCTTGAAATCTGAGTGCAATAGGATTTGATTGTAATAGTTACTTCAGGATATTTTGTTTCTTTAATCTGCATACTTTCTAGATAGATTTTATTTTTAAATGTCCTCAGCATTGCAGAAAATAACATTGTAATAGCAAATAACAGCTGGAGGCTCAGTTTCTCTGGGCTTCCAATGGCTGGCAAGGCTGGCTCTCAAATCCCAAAGTTGGAAGGCATGTTTCTGAAAAGCAACTGAGGTGTGACTGTTTGGACCCAGACCTCATCATCAGGGGTCCTGGAGGAAGCCTCCAAGTAGAGGGGAGACCTGGTAGTTGAATAGTTGTTTAATCAAGCCAAATATTCCCACTGCCCCAGTCAACAAACCCACTTTTATGACAAGTTTCTTCTGCAGCTGGCTCTTAAATTTCACTGGCATGTATGTGGTGGTTGGAGGGTTCCTAGTGAGTCGGGGGACCTGGCAGGAGAGCTGCTTGGTTGGAAGAAGTGGAGCTGGCTTAATGCTAGCAGGTGATCTCTCCTACCTGCCTTTCTTCTTTTCTTTTTTTTTTTTTTTGCCACTCTGATACTAAACCAGAGAAAGCTGCAGGTGGATAAAGCAGCTGTGGCTGTTTTTTGCTTTTGGGTGGCAATGAAAAAGAGTCACAGTGTGGGTTAAAGGGATCTGCAGTGGGGTCAAGGATGCCACCCCACCCTCAGCTGCAGGCAAGCTTGCACATAAATCACCCCCTCTCATTGGAGTGTTAGGGATGCGAGGGGTGCTATACTGTTCTTGGACTTGTTGTCCTGGGGCAGTTTTAGTTCTTTATATTTGATGGGTCAGTGCCAAGTGCTACCACTTCCCAATAAAGGAATAGGGACCCAGACACTGGGTCCCTGGCTACCTTATGAGGTTTTGTTGTTTCTCTGACAAGATTGCTTTGGAAAGAGCTGCTTTTAGGGATTTTTTGAATACCCCGAGTGGGGAACAGGGTTCTCCTCAAAGCCTCACACCTAAGATCATAGGAAAGGGGCCCTATTTTCCTGCTGCTTCACAGCTCAGAACATATACTGAATGGAATGTATTTTTAAGAGAATAAAGTCTATTTTTTTGTATTTTAAAGATTGGGAGGGCTAAGAAGGTAGCCCTCAAACTGTTATTGCATTATAGGCCCCTTTGTTGGGGGGGGGTGCGGTCTGTTGGTCCACACCTACTCGCTCAGGCAGGTGCCCTGGTCTCACCCCTGCCCCTTGGAGTCTCGGTGCAGCAGCTTCTACATTCCTGCTCCAAGCAAGGGACCAAGGAGGCCAGAACCTGTCGCTGGAAACCAGGGCAAAGCCGTGAGCAGTGGCTCAGGGCTCCTTGGGTGCATGTGTCTAGTTGGAGCTGCCTGTCTGCATGTATCCTCTGGCTCTAATGCTCTCTGTTGGCTCTGCAGTACAATATGTAACCAATAAAGCTCCCTCGTTTCCATATACTCTGAGTCCGTGATGCCAGATTTGTTAATGTCATCCCTGCATTGGCGCAGCTCTAGTATATTTCGTTGTATGATACTTAAAATTTTACCTAACCAATTACTCATACCGTAAGGACTGGAAACAGTAACTGAGGCTTGGAAAAGGACATGCATAGGACCCACACAACTCAGCTAGAGTTATAAAAGACCTACCCTGGATTAGATACCCTAGCTCATTCCCATGAGGTACAACGTTGATGGAAGAGCTGAAGATTCAAATGCAGGTGTCTCCTTTTCATCAGTTCTTCCACTTGCCCTGATCCTGGCGTGTGGGTTCTTTCCATTACTGTCACTAATTCTAAGACAAGGGAAAAAAGCCTCCATTTTCATCTTCCAATCAGACCACCAATATATATATTATCCCTTAACTCATACTGAGAATAAAACTGCGTTTAAGGGAGATTACATGCATTTGTAGTAACACTTTATCTGTTAGGAGCCCCTGGGAAGGAACGGCATGTAACATGTTTTTACCTTATATGGCAAAAGGGACTTTGCAGGTAAGGATTCTGGGATGAGGGAGATCATCCTGGATGATCCATGTGGCCCTTAAATGCAGTCAATCACAGGCAGTAAGTAACCTTTTAAGAGGGAGACGGAAGATTTGACTACAGGCAATGTGATGATGGAGGTGGAAGCAGAGACTGGAAGGCATGTGCTCTGAGGATGAAGGAAGGAGCCACAAGCCAAGGAACATCATCCCTAGAAGCTGAAGAGGGCAAGGAAACGAAACCATTCCTCTCTGAGAGCCTCCATAATGAATGCAGCCCTGCAGACCCATTTAGACGGCATCAGAACTTCTTTAGGAGAACAGATTTCGTCGGCCTTTTGTTTTTTGAGATGGGAGTCTCACTCTGTCACCAGGCTGGAGTAGTGGTGCGATCTTGGCTGACTGCAACTTCTGCTTCCTAGGTTCAAACGATTCTCCTGCCTCAGTCTCCCAAGTAGCTGGGACTATAGCCATGTGCCAGCATGTCCAGCTAATTTTTGTATTTTTAGTAGAGATGGGGTTTCACCATGTTGGCCAGGATGGTCTCAATCTCTTGACCTCATGATCCACCCACCTCAGCCTCCCAAAGTGCTGGGATTACAGGCATGAACCACTGCACCCAGCTGCCAGATTTCTGTTTTTTAAAAAGCCACTAAGTTTGTGGCAATTTGTTAAACCACCTAAGTTGCCTAAGCCCTTGATCATCATATGTAGTACTTCCCAAAATGTGTACCACCACCTTTAGCAGAATTGGGAAGTTAGCACATACCCATGGAGGAAATCAGGAATAAAGGCAGACTGGTCTCCCAAAGGCCCAAACTTTGTTTCAGCTCTTGTGTTTTATCTTGAAAGTGCATCAGGTTTCCTAATAACCATGTTCTTGGCACCCTACCCAACATGGGGAAGTCTAGTCCACTGACCAGAAAGTCCACTGCTTCTATAGGACCACCCCATCTTCTGACCTGATCAAACCATTTTTCTCTTTATATAAACATCCTCCTTATTTAAATGTGGAGAAAACATATGTATTACTATTGCCATAGGATAAAATTGGCATTTCCAAAGGAGTAATACCCCCATCTTGTATGTAACTCCAATCCAAAGGAACAGAGGATTAATTTTATATGAAGTTTTATTCTCCAAATATAAAAAAAAAAAAAAAACCAAGGGACTAAGATGTTATTTCACAGCACTTGCTTGCCTCAGTCTTTATGATGAACACAATTCCAAGCTAATGGACAAGTTCCTCCCTGTGCTCTAGGTCATTCAAAGGAGGCAAGCTCCTTTGTCAAATCAGGAGCACCAACAGCCAATCAGGAGCCCAGATGACAGAGTGGGCGGTTCTCCGTGGGACCTAGTATTGCTAGAAGAGCCTTGCTTATACAGTGTAAGACAAGCAGACATGGGTCTCTTCCCTTAGAAGGTATCTGTCTCACATGCTTGGGGACTGCTGTGCAGGAACACCTGGTGTGGCCTGGCGAGGCAGCGTATACATGGCCCCCAAAAACTGGTCCGCAATTCTTCCTGCTTCTCTCAGCCCACTCAGGAGAGCACCATGCACTGTGGCTGGGTAGTTACGGATCGTATGTTCTCCCGCAAAGAAGAGTCGTGGAATTGGCTATTTTAGGGGAAAGAGAAAATTGGGGAATTTAGGAGATTTAGAGGAAAAAGAAAATTGGCAAGTTGCACATACACCTTTATTCTTGTACTTAAAAGTGCTAAATTCCTATTGACCTTTTAAAGGCTGATCCCCCAATTACTATTCATCATTCTATCCAATAGTGTCCCCATCAGTAGGCATTTTCCCAGAACTGACAAGTAGAAATGGGACAACAAACTACACCTAGCCTCAGTCCTAAAGTGAAGCTTATTAACATGTGTTCTTATCAGTTACTAACAGCCAATTCTAGAGCTCCCTTCCCTCATCTATAACAGTACCTTCTGGGAAGAAGCCTTGCTACCCTGAAGCACAGGACATTTGGTGATCAGGGACACTTCAGCCTCGCAGCTCAAAGCAGGTCTGAGCTATGACACTGAAGAACTCTTACTGCTCTTTGGACTGGGGTCTGGCATAAGGGTCTAGATAAGGACCCAGGGTTATTTCTCAGAAATACCCTGGAAGCCCCTGGTAATTGAGACCTTGCAACAATCCTATGAGCCATTACAAATGGAAGTGCAAATAGAAAATGGTTTTGTTTTTTAGGGGGAAAACCTAAATAAGGAAAAATGTTACTGATTTCTACTCTGGACTCCTCCATTTTGAATGCAGACTGCCTAGATTTAAAAAACCAAATTATGGGAAATCAGAAATGCTGCCCCTCCTTTTAACTCTGTTCTTGGATATCTGAAAAGGTCCGAAGACAGAACGACTAAAATCTGGAAAAAAAAATCAATGACATCATGAGATCCTGGCCTCTTCCCAAATAGGCCCAGACAGTTTGCCAGTTTCTCACCTGTGGGGCGCCTGGAATTGAGGGGCCAGGAGTGATTGGCTGAGCCATTAAATCATAGTCATTTCCAGATGATCCTGCAGCAACATAGGAATAAGAGCCTCGGGCCCAAGGATCAGCACGCCAACGAGACACCACAGTTTCTTTGGGCTAAAAGAAAGACCAGGAGCAAAAGTCATTATGAGACACCAAGGACAAATCATTCCTTGAGAAGTGGAAAGGCAATGGTAGGTGGGGATACAAGTGAGAGAAAGAGGTGACATGTGAGAGCCAAGTGATCAAGTGATGAACGCTCTGCTTTAAAATAAGGCATGGACACAAGGGCTTCAGATACCAAGGACACCTCCGTGTTGCCTTCCTGTCTATGAATCCAGAGTCTACTACATAGGGCTTGACTTCTATTCTCTTTTATAAATTCACATGAAGCATTAATATGCTTCCCTTCAAAGGAATCCCAAGGGGTTGAAGTATTTCAAAGGGCCTAAGAACAGGAAAAAGTACCAAGAGGTTGAAGGCTTCCTTGAGATACTCACTGGAGTTCGGCATTTTGTCTAAAATGGCAGGGGTACGGTGTGACTCTAAAGCCAGAGGAGAAAGGCAGCTAACAGCCTTCAGATTCCCCAGCTCTTGTTCTGGGGGGTTTTCTGAACCCCATGCTTAGGCCATGAACTCCAAACATTAATATTCATGTAAAAGCGCGTACCTCAATTCAAGCTTCCAAGAACACGCTGCAAATACATCTGCCCCATCCACCTACTTACCTGGGGTACTGCACTGCTTCCAAAAATCCCTTTGAGAATGGCCAGGCATCGGCCAACAATCACATCATCACTTATATTTTCCATGATACCAGCAGCTTCTCCTGCCACTAGTGCCAACAGTATTGGAGCTGGGGAAACAGAAAGGATAATTCTAGTGTTTTCCTACAGACTTTTCCTCAAAAACTTCCTTATGAGGCCTCACCTTATTCCTGGGGCTCTGAAATCTGATGATGAGGCACATGCAGCACCACTCAAATGCGGAGAGACAAGTTATGTTTCTGAAACAGTGTACAGAACTCTTGTTGCCAGAAACTGGCCAATAGGAGCTGGCAGACTAGAGAGTGAAGTAAGACACACAGGCACCTCACTGCTTCTAACTTGGCAAAATACAGCAGTTATGAAGATATAATTTTAGACCTTGCTAATAAAAGGGAATTATTAAGCATCCCTTTGTTTTGGCACAGAATTCTTAACCCTGACTACCTCAGATAGCTCCATGACAATGGCTACATTCCTTTTAGCCATCCTAGGCCTGTCTTCAGTCACCCATCTGGTGAGTATTTATGCAGCAGACTTACATGATAGGCACAGTACTAGAAGAGGGGGTTAAAAAAGATAAACTATATCCTCCAACAGAGCAACAGATACAAAATTACATAGATGATTATTAACTGTGATAGAATTTATGAAGAAAAACATAGGCTACAGGGAAAAGAATAAAAAAAATTAAATACAGGGATTTAATTTACATTCAGTGCAGTGGGGATGTGTGTGTCGTGGAAGTCTTTGAAATACATTTAGGTCAAGATCTGTATGCTAAGAAGAGTAAGACAGGTTAGGAAGGAAGGGGGGCCAAGGGGGTGGGAGTCGGGGGAGAAGCAGCCCCCACCCAGGTCTAGACCACAGTACATGCAGAGGCCCTAAAGCAGGAAACAGCATGGTACCCTCCAGGATGTGAGAACAGGCGAATGTGCCTGGAACCTGGGGATGGACTCAAAGTAGAGATGAGCTAGGTAACGAAGAACCTCAGCATAGGCCAAGATAAGGAGTTTGAACATTTTCTTTCAGCAGTAGAAAGTCACTAAAAGAAGCAGGAATATCAGTAGAAGATACTGGTAACCATCCAGGAAACAGGTAAGAATGGCTTGGACTGGGAGGTAGGCAGTAGAAGTAAATAGGTTTCCAAGAGACTGTAAGGCTGGCACTGACAGGACTTGACAGCCTGGGTGGGGAAGGGAAAAGACACGCTGCTGTTGTCAGAAAGCAAGGTGCTCAGGGTCTGTGAAGTTGGAGGCCCTGGGGTGTGAAAGACCATTCACCATTGGGCCATGAGGAGTAATGGAAAGAACTGGGGGTGGGAGGCAAGCCAGTTAGCCGACGTGTCTGCACTGACGAGGCCTTATTGTTTTTATAGCCTTTTCTTGGAATGAGGTGGGGTACAAATATACTTTCTTTAAGTCTACATAGAGTTAAGTCCAATTACAGAAGAAAATAACTGAACAGGAGGTAGGAATTTGATAAGTACATTCTAAGGGAAGTAATCCAAGAATCAGGGGTAAGTCAGCCTGAGAATGAGGAATGCAAGCTTCCCCTGGTAGGAAGCCTCCCTGGGCCTGTCCCTCCAGTCTGAGTGAACCTCCAGTAACCTGGGTGTTCAGCCAGTCACTGTACTTAGTGCCCTGTTCTAAGGCTGCTTCCCCTCTTACTGTGTCCCCACTAAGTTCCGAGTTCCCTGAAGACAGGTACTTTTTTTTCATACTCCAGTACCTAGAAGATATTTCTGGAATTGTTTGTTAATTAAAAAGAGAAGGCATATATATTGAGAAAACCCGAAGTAACTCAAATTATATATTCCTATAAGGATATGGAAAAGATTAAAATTAGAAGGCATTTACCTTTATAGAGATTCCAGAAGAGGAAGAGCTCACCCCTGCTGGCAGTTGTACTGCCAACATGCCCAAACAAATTGACACTTGGATCCCAGAACACCCGGTCAAAACACAACACCACCTAAGAAAGAAGCACATGAGCTAGTGACAGGGGCCAGATAATACTGGCTTCAACAGAGCTGAGCCTCGACTTCTTCAAAATCTCTTCTAATCTGCTTTCAAAATAAGCCCAGAAATGCTTATTATAAATTATTTAGGATGACATTTACACCCCCCTGTTTATAGGCCTGAGTTTGTGAAATGGCCCCATAAGACTAAGTCCATATGAACAGACACTTGATGATAGACTTAGGCACTGAAGAGAACAACTGCAACTCCTCAGCCCTGATGTCACAGTTGAGAATATAGCCAAACCTCCAAAAATGCAAGGCCCCCTCCTCACCAAGTAAACAACTAAGATTGATACTTCTGTCTACAAATCGGATACACAAGTGCCTCGGGCAAGTTACCTTGTTAAGGTTGCCAAATCCCATCCTTTGGACTGCAGATGTTTTCCACTCAGGAAGAGGTGGCACAAACTGAACAGCTGGTGGCTGCTGCTTCAGCACACCCAGGGGAAGGGTACAGAGAACTGCATCGCATTTATAAATAAAGGTTTGACTCGTGGAGCGGGTATTCACAGCTATCACTTCACATCCTGGAGAGGTGGGTGGGAAAAGACGAGTGGTAATGAATATTGAACATTTAGTGCACAACAGATGGACATCCATCTCTCAATTCTCATCTTTCTATTTTCATTACCATCATGTTTCACGTAAGAAAACGGAGGTAGAGGTGAAATAACTCATCTAAGACCACACAGGTAATTGGCAGAATTCAAACTCTCGTAGTCAACTTCAGAGTCCTCGATTGTCACCCCCACACTACCCTCCCAATATATTGGTGATCTAGACTAACGAAAGCACCTTACCACTTAAGTTAAGTACATTTAGATCAAAAATAAAGAGTAAAATGCTCATCCCAGTAGAACCAATGTCTTCTGACTGTGGTTAGCTGCTCACTATTGACCAGTAGAAGAATGCTACCAGAAGACCATGATGCAGATCTAGGGGAGACAGCCTCAAACTGTGAAGCATGCTGCACCTGAGAATGCAGTGATCCTCAGTCTGTCAAAATAGAAATAAGCTCAAAGCTGACCTCAGGAAGGGTACTGAAATTATGTTAACATCACTTTCCTCATTTGTTTTCCTCCATTTATATTATATTATATATATCAAAATAAATATGAAAGCTCAGTACATGCTAATTTTCTGTGGCTGCAGAACTAGGGAAAAATGGCACAACATCTCACTGTTCTCCGTCTGCCTGCAAAAGGCTCAAGGCTACAGATCTCAGCACTGTCACCTAGAAGCTGCCTCTGATGGGAAAATTAAATGGAAAACTGTTTCACTGGTTCTTAGAAAAAAAACATCTGTGGTGATCTCAGCAACTCTAAGGAAAGGGGCCACACAGGGAAGATTGATGGCTGTGTCTCCATTTCTCATGCTTACACAGTCACACATGGTTCTCGGAGAGGGAGGTGACTAGCTATCTTAAGGAGTTCAAAATGCAACAGTGCTCTGCACTTTACCTTAAATGTAGTCTGAAACCAGCAATAATAATGAGCATTGAGCCTATCCCGATAGCAAGCACAGGGAAACTCCATCTCTGAAGTCAACTTATTAGCAGGACTGCTCCAGAACTAGGAACCATACCTAAGCGAATTAGCCCAGCTGAATAGAAAAGGCCAAAATGAATCCGAAGACCAAGATGTGGGTGGTGAAATATAAGGGGCGGATCCTACTGGAGCCCAGGGGCCAAAATCCTGGTTTTTTAAATGTACTGAGCAAAATTAGATGCAAACTCACTGGCTCACCAAAACTGAAAACTTTTTGAGCTCTGACATGGTGCTCAAAGGAAATGCTCACTGCAGCATTGTAGATTTCAGATATTCTGATTAGAGATGCTAATATCCAACTAGTTCATGACAAATTGGAAACTCTAAAACTTGCTTCAATTTCCTGTTTTATAAAATGATAGGGTTAGAACCACCAAAGACTCCATAGGTTTGATCGTCTGTAAATGCCAATTTTTACCTACAGTGTCATAGTTTAAACACACTATCAGGGAATGTACCTACTAGGTGATACCTAACAAAAGATCAGTCCTGTTTCAGGAGAGTTCTATCTTACATTCTGGAAAGCAGTGACGTACCTGAAGCCGTGTAGCGAACCTGTCGCACTGCTGTATTCAGTTTAATGTCTAGGCCTTCTGCTAAAGCCACAGGCACACATGAGTAGCCATTCCTCACCGTCAGGTGGCTGCCAGTGAACTCAAAGTCATCATCCTAAAAAGGAGAGAAAAGAACATACTTCCAACCTTTTCTTAATCTGTATCATCTACACCTAGCTCTGTACAACAAACACAAACTTGTGGAAATAGTCAATATTTTAAGGCAAACTAAAGAACAAATCACTCAGTATTCAGCTAGTTATCAAAGGAAACTGAAGGAAAAAGAGAAAACACCAAAATGTCTCTAAACACACCCACACAACACTCTCTCTATTTTCTTTCTTTCATATATATAT